TATATAAAATCAAATAGAAAAACATTTCAGGTTATATTGAAGCTTTTTCTTTTTTTATTATTATATATATATTATCATTGTATCTCACGCTTTTATTAGAAGTAGATTTGCATGTATGGAATGTAACATAATTTATTAATATTAAATTGAAAACATATTATTAATAATATTATTTTTTTTATTTTTTATTACAGTAAAACATCACGAAGACCACAATTTGTTCAACATGGACGTAAAAATTATTATAATAATTTATTATCACAGATAATTATGATAAGTTTTACGGAATAAAAGTGTACTCTTTTTGATGAAAAAAAATTGAGTGCAGTACTCTTTTTTTTTTTTTATATATATATATATACCTTATTTATATAATAGTTATCCATAAGCATTTATGAAAATATTATATGATTATAAACATATTCTGATAACGAATGTTCATTTTCATATAAAAATAAAAATATCTTAATCAAAAATTTTAATAAAAGTACAAGGTTTAAAGAAATCTTAAAATTTTATTATTTTTTCGGATGTTATATTATCCCATAAGAACTTCTGCTGATCCTTTATGAACAAAATCGTTATCAGCTTTGTTGTTTTTTAATTGTTCATTCGCTTGCTCAATAGTTTGTATCGTTGTTTGCGTATCGGTTTGTTGTATCAAAATAGTCGTGAATAAGCTGCTCGGTAAAGATTTTGTTACTTCTAGATCGTTTATAATTTCAGATATTTCAGTATTAGTTTCGGTTGAATCTTTTGGCTGAATAATACTGGGCGATTGAAAAGTAACATCTAATTCATCAGAATTATATTCGAATTCATTTTGATTCATAAAATCTTTCCGAATAAAATACCAATTGCCAATTCGAAATCTCAAATTTTCATTAGAATTGAAAAATAAAGTAGCTGTAATTTATAATTATTAAAATTAACAAATTTAATGAAAAATTAATATATTTAAAATAATTTAATTTTATTTAATCTTATTTCAATCAATTTTTTATGCAAAATTACCAAAGAAATTATAAACATAGGAATCCTTACATAAATTTAATAATTGCCATTCATAATTTTTTAATCTATTTCGTACTTCAAATAATTGTTCATAAATTTGATTTTTTAAATTATAAAACCAATCTTTTATATCTTGAAAAAATTCATTATTATATTGAAAATCTGTCTGTAATCCATTGCTTTCTATAATAAAAAACTTTGATTTTATTCACATATTTTAAAATTATATATCAAAGTACATTAAAAAATAAATTTATAAGATGATTATAAAGATACGAAGAAATGAAATCTTTTGTAAGTATATCTAAATATTTAAAGAAAATATTTCTAAAGTTTCTATATAAAAGTTCATTATTAATATAACATTAACAAAATGTTTGAAAAAATGTAATACCTTTATCATAACTTCTAATCGATGCAGATAAATTAAAAGTAAATAATAATACAATAATAAAGAAAAGATACATTTTTTTTTTAAAATACTGATGTTAGTGAATAAATATCCCCAATCACTGATTCAGTGAATGTTCATGGCTTTATATATATATTCTACCGGAAAAAAATACTCATTAGTACAACAATTCTATCGCGAATCAAGTATATTAAACAATACTGTTATGCAACTTTGATAACCTTGTTTATTTTGATTATGATGTCATATAACTATAATAAACAAAAAATATAACAAGATAAAGAAATAATACAAAATATTTTCAAATATATATATGTTTAAAATATAGTATATGTTTAAAAAATATTTAACATATATAATATAAAATTTCAATTTACTGAATTGTGTGATATTTTATTAATAATAAATCATTATAATAAAAAATCATCTAATAGTTGATTAAATAATCATGAAGAAGTTATTATTTCTGTTATTATGAATTATTATCCTGTGAATTTTTGATTCATAAAAATATTATTATTTTCTAATAGCGATTTTTTATAAATATGGATTTGACTATTCTTTATTCTTCCAGTGAAAATTAATTAAAATAAAGATCATTTTTGTTGTTGCAAAATACTTACAACACGAATGACGCAGAATATATATATATGTATATATCGTGCAAATATATACATTAATTTTATTTTAAATTATAAAAAGAATTGAATTTTCTAATATAATATTAAATTACTTTCTACATGATGGAAAAAACAAAAATACAAAAATAGAATATCGATTGTATAACATCAAAACAAATATTATGGTTTTCTGTAATTTAACAAGTTATTTAATAATAGTTACTAAATTCTATAACTATTATTTATAATCTGTATATGGAAAAATGCACTAATACATATTTTGCTTCGTTTTAAATTACATGCAATAATATGAGCATTAATTTATTGAAAAAAGTCTCATTTGTGATTTAACAAGTATTACAATTAAATATATTCAAAACAATTAGATCATATATTATAATTTATAAATTATCTTTATAAATATATCATATAATTTCTTGAAAATTTTTTGTAGAAATTTTGTGTTGTATATTAAATGTTAATTTATTTTCTTTCTAACATTCTTTTCTTTTCACATAATTAGAACTATAAACTACCATAATCTAAAGTTTGTTCGGAATAGCTAGTAAATTCGGCCACATGTAAAAGTGGATTCATCCATAGTGACACATTTAGTAAAATTATATTTAAAATTTTTATTATTAAAAATTCGTGATTTTAGTTTAATTTAAAGTCTTCAGTGATTTTTATTTAAAAATACATTATCATTATTTAAGGAACTTTTTTTTTTACACATATTTTCTAAAAGCACATTTATGAATGTATATTTTTGACATGTATATTTTACATTTATGAATATGTAAAATTGTTTAGAGTACAATTCAAACTTCAATGCATTTAATGTAAGTACAGAAGTTAGGTATAATTAATACATCGTAATTTACATATATAATATAATTTTATATTTTTACTTATAATTACAATTATATTATAGTTAAAATTGATGACAGGTTAGAAAGTTTTACTATGAAAAGATATTTGTAGTATCATATCGTAACACAACCTATCATTTAATGTGAAATATAATATTATTTTTATTTCAATTTTTTATTAATTATAATGAAAACATAAAATTATTAAATTTGAATAAATTAATTTATTTATATTTATAATATAACATACAATCTGCATGATATAATTCATAATCTTTTTAAAAGATTAAACAATTAATGAATTCTTAAAGTTAGATTATGTTGGTACACATGATACAAAAACTGACGAGCCAATATTTAAAATATTTTAAGATATGTAATAATCTTAATTTAAAAATTTTACTTTATATGAAAGATTAAAAAAATTAACACAAGATTAAAGAAATTAAGACAATTAATTTATAAATATCTGATACCTAATAAATAAATCTCAATTTTCTTATTAGATAATAATTATTTATTAATATTCATTTTTTTTTGATAATAAAATAGTTTATTTTTATGGAAATATCTGTTTCGTTTTATTTATATTATATTTAAGAAAATTTATTTTCTTAAATATTCGGAACAAAATTAATTTTTAACTTAATTCAAATTAAAATATTATTTTTAAAAAATATACTACTAGTATATATTAAGTCCCAATTTATTTAATGAATAAAAGAAAAAAAGAATAAATTTATTTTTTTTGATCTAAAATTATTTACTATTTAATATATTTTGTCAAGAATTGATTAATTAAAAAAATTTCTTTAAAAATTAATATGTGTTTCATATTATTATTAAATATATTAGATTATTAATTTGTTATTTATATATTATATTATATTAATATAATAACATAAATTATATATATATATATATAAATATATATAAATGTTAATAACNATTTTTTATATTTAAAAAAATTGTTAAAATTTATACTTTAAATAAATATATCAAAAAATGATCATTAAAATTAACCAATATAATTAACGTATATAATGTATAATATTTTCTCTTTATTGAAAACTCAGTGAAGTAGAACTAGAAAGCAAAATGTCGGCTCGCTTCGATCGGTTTGTATATAACTATATTCAAGATGTATTGATACTAACATTTGATTTAGGTTTTAATCTCTCACATTTTGAATTAAAATGTTCGAAAATGTATCTTCTGAACAAAAAGATAATCACTTTAAAGATGAATATTTTGAAGAATTTGAACATAAACCATTACTAATAAGTATACCAAAAGTAGAACCAACATGTTCTAATGTAACTAATTTAAATGAAAATATACCGAATGAGGTAAGTATATGATTATTAATATTCTTAATATATTTTATTTTATATGTTTTTTTTTATAACTTTATTTTTTCTTTTTTTATTTATAAAATAAATCTATTGCGTAATAATTTAAAATATATTATTAGATATAGATAGTAATATTATTAAGAATTTATTGAATTCGATATTAAAAAAAAAAGTACGACATAATGAAATTCGTAATTTTTAAAATAAGAAAGAGTAGTCAGTTTATATCTCAAATAAATTTTGGCGGGAATTTTAAATTTATTTATTTTCTTTTTTATGATGTATATATTTCATTCTATATTATATAATAATAAATTATTATATTCTATATTATATTCTATATGATATATAATATATAAATTCATTCTATATTATATATAATAATATTTCATTCAATATTATATAATAATAAAAACATAGATTTATATTTATTAGAATATTTTTTAAATAATTATTTAAAATTTTTTTTTAAATTTTAATTTGTATAATAATTGTATTTACATATTTTAAATTTTAGGATGAAAAAATTACATCAGCAATTCCTTTAATTATGCCATGTAAAATAAAGGATCCTATTATTTTACTTGAAAGATGTGATAAAATATGGGAGACATTAAAAGTAATAAAAGATGTACAAGATAAAAGTAAAATTAATACACTTAATACATTACCATTAGAAATAAATTCAAAACCATTATATATTCAATATCAATCACCATTAGAAAACAGTAATGTTGAATTACCAAATTTTAAATTTTCTGTAAAATATAAAAAGAGATTATTTAATTGTTTAACATGTGGAAAACAATATACTGAAAATAGAAGATTGAGATCTCATTCAGAAAAAGTACATGGTATTTACATACCACCAAAACGAAAAAGATGCACTGTTTTATATCAAAAACATATTGATAAAATAAAAGAAAAAGATTCTAACATTGTCAATAGAGAAGTAGATTGTAGTGGAAAAGTTTCATTAAAAAAAGATGAAAATAGATTACATGTAGGAACATCATTACAATCTACATCATCATCAAATGATAACAAAATTATTTCAGATTTAAGAAGAAAAAAAAATATTAATGAAACTATATGTAAAAATGAACAAGAAAAAAAAGTATTAAATAAAGAATTCAAACAAGAAAAAATAATCTCAGAATCTCATATATCTTTATTAACATGTATATTATGCAAAAAAACTATAAATGATATAAGAAAGCATTTAATTGATTATCATAAAATTGAATCACCTGATTTTATGTTAAAGAATTTAAATGAAACATCTAATCATTTAAAAGACAAATTAAAAACAGGAGTTCCTAATGATGAGAATAAATTTTTTGAAATTATTGAAAATAAGAAAAGAATGATATCAAATATACAATATTCAAATTCTAGAAAAAGACATAAAGTTAATAATAATAGTAAAAACTCGCAAGTTGATGAAAATGATACACGTCAATGTGATATTTGTCTTGGACGCTATAAAGTTCGTAGTTTTTATACACATATGCGTTATCATCGTCAGCGTGGAGAAACAAAAGAAAATTTCCATTTATTTGATAATAAATATTTAAAATCTCCGTTATATTTAAAATCAAAATTAAATTCAAGTAACATATCCAATGAAAATTCAAATAATAATCACAGTAATAAAAATAATTCAATATCATTTAAAAATAAAGAAAAAGAATGGCAAACTGAAAATGATATGCAAAATAAAGATAACATTAAGAAGACATCAAATAGAAATAATATTTGTTCCTGTGGTAGAAAATTTCGTAACCCTCATACATTATTTGTACATAAGAAAAAGTGTACTTCAATAGATGAATTAAAACAGCCAATTATAAAAAACAGAGTAAATATAAGAAGTCAATATGTTATACAAAATAATTCTGATAGAAATTCTGAAATTGGAATTAGCATAACAATAAAGAAAAAAAATAATTCTTATGAAATCATTGACAGAAATAAAAATAAAAATAAAATGCAGGATTCCATTAATTCAAAATATTTTAATGCATCAAGTATTTCAGAAAATAATACCCAAATAGAATTACAAAATCAATTACGAGATGAAACTCCAGAATTATCTAAATATAGTGAAAAACACAGTATTTTAAAGATTCAATCTGCTGATGAAGATATTGATATTGACATTGAAGAAGATTCAAATAAAATTGATTTTTCTAAAGAAAAAGAAGAACAAAAAGTAAAAGTGGAACAAGATGATAATTCTTGCCAAAAATCTATTAACTCAGAGTTTTTGAAAAAAAAAATTCTTACCAAACGTAATTATAAACAATCTAATGGTATCAAAATAAACTTCGCTAAGAAATATAATATTTGTGTATGTGGTTATAAATTTTATACCAAAAGAGCTCTTGAGATTCATACTAATAAACACCATCCAAATTCGAATTTGATATGTGGTTATTGTAAAATTAGTTTTTCTAATGGTATTACATGGAATAAACATCAGTGTTCTATTAATGAAGGAAAAAAGTTTATTGATGTACAAATGGAAATAAATTGTCTTTATTGTACTGTTTCTTTGAGTTCACATAAAAAATTTGATGATCATATAAGAGAAAAACATCATGATTCTATATTGCCATTTCAATGTTTTCGGTGCTATAAACGATTTTCTAATACCTCATCTCGGAAAATACATTTTGATACAGATCATGCAATAACTGTTTGTTCCTTATGTAATAACAAAATTTTTGATATTATGAAATCTAGGCATGAAGCATATCATTATGGTCTTGGATTTCCTTGTCATATTTGTAAAAGAACTTATACCACTAAAGAAAATTTATTAAAACATACAAAAAGATGTCACAAATATCATAAAATATCATTTATGGCAAACAATGATTTAAATATATAATATTTTTTATGAATTTTATAATTTATATTATATATTTATAAAAGAAAAGTAAAATATCTGAAAAATTATAATAATAAAAATAAAAACATTAAAATAACAGTTTAACATAAAAACAATGAAAAAGAAACAAATGAATGAAATAAATATGACACAATTTATAATTTATTTTTCGATTTTTTCTTCTTTTTTAATTAAAAAAGAAATAAATAACGATTTTTACAAGGAAGATATCACTTTATATGATAATATGAAATATATAGTATATTATAGTACATTAATTTATTATATAAAAAAAAGATATATTGTTGAATATATATAATACTGTGTTTATATTTATGTCAAACATAAAAATAACTGTATATATAAAAAATATAGGTATAAGGTATAATATAAAGATGAATAAAGAAGGTATATAATTTGAACTATCATTACATACAATTTTTATTTTTTAAGTACATAAAATTGTAAAATTGAACTGAATTTCAATCTTAATTAAAGTTTAATGTTTATTATAAATAAATACGATAAGACGAGTTACATTACATTTAATTTTTACAGAAATAAAATTTTTTCATTAAATATATATATTTTAATTAATGATAAATAATATTATAGTTTTATTTATATTAATTACCAAATATATTATTTAATTATCTCATGAAGCTTTTTATAAAATATTTATCTGCAAAAAATTGATGACACAAATGAAATTTTGTTTGAAATACAGTTACTATTATCAAAAATATATTTTTCTTTTAAAGTCAATATTAAATTATTATTAATTATAATAATTTTATTGACTATATAAATAAATAAATAAATATTATATAAAATATAAGAAAATTTCTTTATACTTATTCTTTAAATTCAATATAACAAATTTAAACAAATTTATTATTAATTTATTACTTAAAATTATTCCTAATGTATCGTAACTCGCATCTTTAAATATTAAGAAATAAATAATATAAGGTAATAATATAATTAAAATATGATAAAATTTTTGATATTTTTTTGTACTATAGAATTTAAGAATTAATTAAGAAATA